CTGGTGTCAAAAATACTGTATTTTTGAGCCAAATTTGGAGCTCTCAATATAATTTTTTCCATTTTTTTTTGTATTTCGGATTGTTTGTATGTCTGATCAAAAAAGATCGAAAAACTCGAAAAAAATTTTTTGGTCGAAAAAAATCATAAGGGTCCCCCCCCTTATGTGTTTTTTGAAAATTTCGAAACTAGTGAAAAGACGGGCCCGCCGGGCCGGGCCTCCGAAATTCCGGAAAAAGCCCGGCCCGGCCCGTTACAAGTATGGAAATTCCCAAAAAAATTCCGAAAATTCCAATGGTCCAAGAATACGAAATTTTTTGAAAATTCCAACATTTTGAAAAATACGGGAATCCAAAAACTTGAAAAATTCAAAATTCCCAAAATTTTGAATTTTCCGAAAATCCTAACATTTCGAAAATCCGAAATTTTCCAAAAATATGAAATTTCTGGAATTCCCGAAAATCATAAAAATCCGAAAATTCAAAAACTTGAAAAATTCTGAAAATTCTAAAAATTCTAAAAATTCTAAATCGCCAAAAATCCAAAATTCAAAAAATTCTGAAAAAGCAGAAATTCCCAAAAGGGTCATTTTAAGGGCTGGCGCGCCTTTGGCGCGTTTCAGGGATATTCAATTTTTGACAATTCCAAAAAATCGGAATTTCCGAAATTCCCAAAACCTACCGTAATCGGCTTATCCTGTAGCACCTGAATGATAAAATTCGACACAACCCGCCCATCATTCATATGCATCCGCGGTCCAAATGTATTGAAAATTCTTGCAATTCGAATTTTGACATTTTCCTGTTTGTTATAGGCAACCATCAGAGATTCGGCTACTCTCTTCCCCTCATCATAGCATGCCCGTGGTCCAATAGTGTTGACATGTCCCCAATAGGTTTCTGGTTGTGGATGGACTTCTGGATCACCGTAGACTTCGGAGGTGGACGCAAGGAGTACGGTAGCTTTTACGCGTCTAGAAAAATCGATTTGTTTGGTTTTCAGCTTAGATTTCGGTCGGTCGAAAATGTTTTTCGACCGACCGACCGACCGACGATTTTCGACCGACCGACCGACAGAAAAACATTTCGACCAATTTCCGACCGACCACAAGAAAACATTTTCGACTTAGTTTTGGTCGGCCGAAAATCGGTCGAACATTCTTCGGCGGTCGGCCGACCGCGAAATTTTTGTTCTTCGACCAATTTTGTCCGACTAGGATCGGACCAATTTTCGGTCGACCGCCAAAAAAAAGGGTTTTCCGCTGATTTTCGACCGACCGAAAATTGGTAGAAAGATTTTTACCCGACCGCAAAAACATTTTTTCGATCAATTTTCGGTCGGCCAAAGAACGGTCGAAAATTTTCCGGCGGTCGGACGCAAAAATGTTTTTCTTAGACCGACCGAAAAAAAACTTTTTTTGAGAAACATATTTTTCGACCGACAAGCAGCAAAAAATTTTTTTTGACGAATTCAACCAATTTCAACTGCGAAAAAATTTCTCGACCAAACGGTCGGTCGGGCGAAAACCGGTCGACGAAATTACTTTTTTTTTGGCCGAAAAAAGGAATTTTTCGACCAATTTCGACCAATTCGACCGCAGCCAAAACCAAAAAAAAAAAGAACCCACTTTGCCAATCCCAACATATTAATTGTTCCCAAAGTGTTGGTTTTGATAGTTTTCACCGGATTATACATATAATGTGGTGGAGACGCAGGTGACGCGAGATGATAAATTTGATCAACTTCTACGAAATATGGATTCACGACGTCGTGATGGACCATCTCGAAGTTCGGATGGCCAATCCAGTGCTCAATATTCTTCTTCCGACCCGTAAAATAATTATCCAAAGCGATGATTTCATGTCCATCTAGCATTAATTTATCCACTAAATGAGATCCAACGAATCCGGCGCCGCCAGTGATAAGGACTCGTTTTCGGGTCTCCTCGTTACGGTAGCGGACCGATGGGAACGATTTTCTGGAAATATAATGGGTTGAAAGTCGGATTTTTTGAATTTTCGAATTTCCGATTTTCCGAATTTCTTTAATTTCTGAATTTCAAAATTCCAGAAATTCTGAATTATTGAATTTCAGAATTGCTAAATTCCGGATTTTTGGATTTTTGAATTTCCTGGAATTCCTAAATTTCTGAATTCTTGAATTTTTCAATTTTTGAATTTCTGAAATTCGGAATTTCTAAATTTCCGATTTTTTGAATTTTCGGATTTCCGATTTTCCGAATTTCTGAATTTCAAAATTCCAGAATTTCTGGATTTTGGAATTTCTGAATTTTCGAATTTTTCGAATTTCCGAATTTCTCGATTTTCAGCTTTCAAACTTTCTGAAAATATGGATGATGAGCCTAAAAAAATAGAATTTTAGGCATCAAATTTCAGATTTTTCGAGACTTTTGCTAAATTTTTTCTTAAAACATCGTCCAAAAATCGATCTGAAACCTCGAAAAAACTGTAAAAACCAAGAAAATTTTTGAATTTTTACGATTTTTTACGAGAATCTACGCGGCTTTCTGCACAAATTAAGGCAAATTTTGGCATTTTAAAATCAATTTTACGGAATGGGGCATGAGGAGTTTTTTACGATTTTTCGGACTTTTTTCTCCCTTCCAAAAATCCGATGCCTCGAACGAGGATCGAACTCGGGTCGATCGTTTCACACACCGGCGTGTAAACCAGTGCGCTATTCGATCGACAAAATTTCTAGTTGTTTTTGATATATAAATAACTTCTTATTATCGTCACGTGAAAATTCGAAAAATCGTTTTTTTTTTTCGAAATTTTGATAACGGTGAATAAATTTGATAGTTGTAAATACTTAATGGTTCCTTATATTGGTGAATCTTCTCAGTCAAAAAATCTAAATTTCGTAACTCCAATTCTAGGATTTTCGGAACGGATTTCGGGATTCCAAACATTCCGATATTTCGGGAATGAAATTCCGGTCAGAATATTTCCGAAAGAATTTTTCGGAATGAAATTCCGAGCGGAATATTTCCGAAGCTTTCTTTTTGAAAATAGAGATTTTTGGACTACGGTATGTCTCGAAAAGATTGCTTGCGGGCAGAATTCCTTCAATTTTTTGCGTTTTCAAAGTCTTTTTGTCTATTTCACAGATTTTTTGGCGTTCTTGTGGTGAAAAAAAAGGAATTTTTACTTAAACATTGGAACTTTCGAAAAATCCGATATTTCGAAAATTTCAAAATCGGAATATTTTGAAATTCCCAATACTTAAATATTCCGAAAATTCCGAAATTCCAAACATTTAAAAATCGGAATACCATATTTCCTCTAATAGAAGCCCACCTTCTAACACAAATTTGTGCAGCTCACAAGGGAAGTACCCGAAGTGTCCCCTCGCTTTTTCTTAGATATTGGTGGCAAAAAATGTCCCTTCCCCGGACTAGCACAAAACAGATAATATAAGGTGCCAATAGGCAGGTTGAGCAGAATGGCAAAACTTTTTGTGTTTTTTCAGAAATAGTGGATCAAGTTCATTCAAAAAAGCATAACTTTGTTCAGAGCAAAGATAAAATTATAAACTAACATATTTCTTGTAGAACAGATTACAGGCTACAAAAAACATAACTACACCTTTATTCTATCTTTGAAAAACAACTTTCTAGGAAGGAAAATGTCCAAATGGTCCGATAATGTGAAATCAAAAAATGCCGATTTTCGAAAAAACACCTTCGGGAGACTATGTCGATTCAATTCCTTTCATGTCATAATGCACAACTGTAGTCTCAAATATATAGCTCACCGTTCATTTAAGAGAGATTTAAAAAAAAAAAATTTTAATTCAATTCTTTTTTTAAACTCAATTTTTTAAACTCAAAGAAACTAAACCAACTGAATCTTTCATTCTCAAAGCTTTTATGTTGTATGTGGAAGTTAAGGTGTATTTATGTTTTTTGTAGCCTGTAATCTGTTCTACAAGAAATATGTTAGTTTATAATTTTATCTTTGCTCTGAACAAAGTTATGCTTTTTTGAATGAACTTGATCCACTATTTCTGAAAAAACTCAAAAAGTTTTGCCATTCTGCTCAACCTGCCTATTGGCACCTTATATTATCTGTTTTGTGCTAGTCCGGGGAAGGGACATTTTTTACTACCAATATCTAACAAAAAGCGAGGGGACACTTCGGGTACTTCCCTTGTAAGTTAGTGCAGTTTGTACAGTGCAGTTCGTTTATTCGGTTATTGCAGTGTTTCTTTCTGTTCTTAAAATTTTCTGGAGATTTCAGTTTTTGGTATTTTCCTGAGATGGAGGATGAAAAATAGAAGCCCATGGGCTTCAATTAGAGAAAATACGGTATGTTGAAATGCCGATATTCCGAGATTTTGAAAATCGAAAAATTTCGATATTCCGAAAATCCGAAAATTCCAAAATCGAGAAATTCCGAGGTTCCGACATTCCGAAATTTTTAAAATCGGAATTTTCGACATTCCGAAAAATTTCGAAAGTCATTCCGAACATCCGAACATAGAAACATATGTTTCATCCAAAAATGTGAAAAAATTGATTTTTTAAAAAACTTGTGACACAAAAGTATCACCAGAAGAAAGGAAATATATTCTTCTTGAAAGGTATTCAGGGTATTTTTTGGGATTTTTCAACATTCTAAAAATTTATTTTTGGAATTCTGTGTTTTGCTTTTATTGTTTAGCTTATCTTCATTGAAAATTTTGAATTTCAATTTTGATTTTCAATTTATTATTTTCAAAGTAGCATCAAGGGTTTGTTACACATTCAGGGTTCTTTGTTTTTAGGTTTCCGCCGGTTGAGGGTGCTGACCTTATTTCTGTTTAGAATCTTCAACACTTTAACCCGTTTTTGCCTTAGCCCATTTTATGTCGGTGCTTGGCACTAAAGAGTTTTTTTCTGAATTAAAATTATAAAATTATACGATAATATACTTCAGGAAGACTGGGTATATCAAACACCGAAAAAAAACCCCGAAGAATACTATTCAAGTGCTGAAAATATTTTTGACGGCTGGGTGTTTTAGGGGTAATTTAAGCTCGGGGGGTAAATCTACATATTTTCCTTTTAAAGGGAATAAATTTGAATCGACTCTATATTGCTTCCGACGAACGACAGCAGATCTAAATTTCCTTTTTTTTCGAAATGTCACGTAAAAAATACTTTGGCTATGAAAATCAGCTAATTTTTCAAAAATCCTACATAGTCACGTGATTTGATAAAAAACCCCCATGCCCCCTTTCGTAGATTTACGGGCGTCTTCAATTTTCAGCTTTTTTAAAGCCTTTTTTGACTGAAAATCGCTTAAAACCCACTCACGTCGTCGGCAACGGCACGGCCATCTCATCCGGAATCCCATTATTGCCTTCTCGATTCTCCGCATCGTCCATTCTCGTTCGCATTGATGATAGTTCGTCCTCTAGCACTTTGATCCGTTCCAATAATGAGGAGACCGTGTCATCCGAGATTCCGGCGTTTCTGAACGTGTATAATAGTTTGAAAATGATCGAAAGTACTAAAAATGCCCGAAATTTGGTCTTTTTCGGTCATTTTAGCCTGTTTAAGCCATTTCACTGCTTAGAATAGCTCAAAATAGCACTAGAATAGCTGAAAATAGCTAAAAATTGACGTAAAATCTCATAATTAAGACTTAAGCGTTTTCAGCCGAAAAATACCGTAAAACCTCTAATAGAACGACACCCGGATCGTCCACTTTGAGCCTATATATCTCACTTCTTTTGAAAGATATCAAAAAGTGGCTAACTAGTAAAATGT